GAGCTATACTCACCACTCAGATTTAGTAAGTCCCTGAGACCCACTGCAAGGGAAGGCTAGTGGCCAGTTCTTAGATGGCCATTGACTTGCATCCTGTGTCATCCTCTTTGCTTTTTTTCAGTTAATAGTGACACCTCTTATTATCAATTAGTTTTTTGTTCCAAATTTATTTATTTTTTTATATTTATTTATTTTATTTTACTATAATATTCAGTTGTTCCAAATTTATTTATTCATTTATTTATTTTGGGTTTTTCGAGACATAATTTCTTTGTGTAACAGCCCTATCTGTCCTGGAACTTGCTTTGTAGACTAGGATGGCCCCCAACTCACAGAGCCTGCCTTTGCTCCCAAGTGCTGGGATTAAAGGCATATGCTACCACTGCCTGGCTCTTCAAATTAAGTTTTGAAGATTTATCTTGCTGATGTATGTCTGTATATGCCATGTATGTTTGGGTGCCCACAGAGGCCAGAAGAAGGCATTAGCTCTCCTGGGGTTGGAGTTACAGATGGTTGTAAGCCAACAAATGAAAGCCCTGACAATTGAACCCTGGTCCTCTGTAAGAGTAGCAAGTGCAAAGCTTTTTAAAAGAATGACCTCGATTGACTTTTGAGTTTGTCCATTTTCTCACTGTTATCAGACTTCCTGGAATAAAACTGTAATAACCTCTTTTTAGCCTGCCAGTGTAGTGTATTCACTTTCATTTCTGTTATTGGACATTCCCCCCCCCCATTTTTTAGGGAGTAAGTGTGCAGGAATGTGTGTATGTATGTTCATATGTATGCAGCTATATTTGTGTGTGTGCAGGTGTGCATGGTTTAAATGTACTTGCATGTAGAGGTCAGGGTTCAACCTCATATGTCATTCCTTATGAGCTGTCCATGTTGGTTTTTTTGAGACAGAGTCTCTTACCAAGAACTGTTGCTCACTGATCATGCTAGGCTGACTGGCTAGTAATTTCCGGGTGTTTGTCTGTCTCAGCCTCCCCATTGTGGGTATTAAAAGTTTGTGTCACCACAACTGTCTTTTTATGGCCTGGATCTTTGACATGAGTGGCTTTCTAAGTAGATACATGACATTTTCTTTATCAACTGAGTGGTCTCCCAGCCCCAGCTTCATTTCCAGAATGGCCTTGCCAGGAACTTTGCTTTGCTCCCCTTCCTCCCTGCTCTTCCTTTTCCCTC